TATTCTTTTTTTTTTTTCTTTCTGAGTTACACCCGGCAATGCACAGGGTTACTCCTGGCAGTGCTTGGAGGACCATACGGGATGCTGGGAATCGAACCTGGGTCGGTCACGTGCAAGGCAAATGCCCTACCCACTGTGCTATCGCTCCAGCCCCAAGATTGTGTTCTTAAAGTTTGGCTCTTCCTGAGGACTTTTAGCTATATATTCCAGACCATAGTCCTCAGGCCAGATTAGTCTTTCCTAATCCCACCAGGGTCCTTACTCGTGACCTCTTTTTGGGTCATGACAGAGTTTGTCCATGATGATGCTCATAACTTATAGTTAAGTATTAAGGTACTTGGCCTGGCCTGTTTATAGCTCACAGCTTGCCCTGGGTCCATCCAGTTCCTTGTTGGCACCCTGCTCTTAGAGTGCTAGGAACTAGGAGCAACTGAGGCTCACTTCAAGTAAATATGGATGCCCAGGAGTACATATTATTTTGGAGTCAATTAACTCCCACGTTACAAAGCACAGCATGTACTGCCTTCCTGTGTCTATACAAAAAAGAACATTGCTAAATAAACCATGCAAATGACATAAAGGAAGGAGAAAAGCAATATAGGATTATTAGTGCCTGATGGAACTGGGTGTGCCTCGGGGCACTGTTGTGGAAATGGCTCAATAAACCTTAAAGCTCCCTGCGGGAGGAGCAAGGGCAACCCAATGGTATCCAACAGTTATAGTTCTTTGTGCTTATTAAACAAGAAATCTTTGCCAACCCAAGTTTTATGAAGATAAGTCTTCTGTTTTCTTCAATAACTTCTATTATTGTACCAGGCACAGGTAGGTTATTCATGGATCCTGAATTCGAGAGGGAACAATCTACAGACGTGGTGAGTACAGTGTTTGTAGTAAGTCCAGGTGACCCAGCCTCGGCCGTCATTTCCCCTGCTGAATTGCAGTGCTCCTTGATTAGATAGGTGTGGTTCCTACATACTTATGTACATACCTATGCAGGTGTTCTAGGACATGGTCCACTATTTTTCAAACCTACTAATATGTTGCTTAATAAAGCTCCTTTACTAGGTCACTTTTTCTCTCAATTGACTGGCCTCTTCAACTGGCAGTGAAACCAGATCTTTGAGGTTACAATAATCATTCTTGAAGGGTCACAAATAACAAATTATTAGGAACTGACACCTGAGCTCAAGGCCAGCAGTAAGCCTTGAGCATTGCAGGGTTTGGCCACCAAACCAAAATAAAAGAACATCACAGAATGTTCTTTTTTTATTATTATTTTTTGGTTTTTTGAGTCACACCCAGTGATGCACAGGAGTTACTCCTGGTTCATGCACTCAGGAATCACTCCTGGCGGTGCATATGGGATGCTGGAAATCGAACCTGGGTTGGCCACGTGCAAGGCAAATGCCCTAGCCGCTGTGCTATTGCTCCAGCCCCACAGAATGTTCTTAATGATGTACTTAACCAATTGTTTATTTTGGGGTAGTGGTAGATATTTGGTCTTTTGGGTAACATGGAAACAGTTCATGGATCTTATTGTAAGAATGCATTTAGTTCTGTAAGAAACTTACCAAACTGTCTTCCAAAGTGGCTGTACTATTTAATCCTTCCTCCAAGAGTGAATGATATATGTCCCTTCTAAGGCACTGGAAATGGCTCACCTCTTAATTAGAGATCAGAGTTAGAGATTAAAAGTGACAGAGTTAGAGATTAAAAGTGAGACTTGGATGTGGAGTCGTGGAGGTTGGGAAGGGCTTAAGTGGCAAAGCACATCTTACTGGTGTTAAGTTTTGTGTGTGATTCTTGGCACTGCATGGTCCCCTGAGCACTGATGTGACCCCTATTTAAAAAAAAAAGAAAAAAAGAGCTTTTGTCACATACACAAAATAACCCAATTACATACTTACCAGTGTTAACGGACATTTGTCAGCTAGATCTACTACAGTGCTGAGCACTACCCTGTAATATACACAAAGATAAAAGTCATTCTGAAACTATTGTAATGTTCGATGTCAAATATATCAGTTTCAAAAAGTTAAGAAAAAAATGTGAACATGGGGCAGAAATCACTATATTCAAGGTCTAGCTTCTTCATTTAGTGGCTAAGTGACCTGGAACAAGTTACTCAATTTACATTTCTTTAAGTGTGTGAGAACCCACGCGTGCAAAGCACAATGGATTAGCAGTCCATCGCCTTAACCACTCGGCCACCTCGTCAGGGGCTGGAACGATAGCACAGCGGGTAGGGCGTCTGCCTTGCACGCAGCCAATCGACCCGAGTTCGATTCCTCCGCCCCTCTCAGAGAGCCCAGCAAGCTACCGAGAGTATTCGATATGCCAGACACAGTAACAACAAAGTCTCCAATGGAGACGTTACTGGGCCCGCTCGAGCAAATCGATGATCAACGGGAGGGCCTTTACTTTTACTTTACTTTACTAAGTGTGTGAAAAGCAGCAGTTGTGGGGCTGGAGCGGTAGCACAGCCCGGGTGCTACCACTTTGCTTTGCACGTGGCCAACCTGGGTTCGATTCCCAGCATCTCATATGGTCCCCCGAGCACTGCCAGGGGTAATTCCTGAGTGCATGAGCCAGGAGTAATCCCTGTGTATCCCGTGTGTGCAAAAAGAAAAGAGAAAAAAAAAGCAGCAGTTGTGAGGCCTTTACAGAGATACTGTGTTACTGGCCTCTTCTGAACTATGACAAAGAACTACGACAAAGGGGCCAAAAAACAACTTTTAAAGAAAACAGGGGTCTGGGCGACAGTACATTTAGTAGAGCATTTGCCTTGCATGTGGCCGACTGAGGTTCAATTTCCTGCACGTAATTATGATCCTCCTCCCCCCAGGAATGAGAGCAGAACCAGGGGTAAGCCCTGAGTATCACCAAGTGTGGCCCCCAAACAAAAAAGAAGCCATTCATTCATTCATCATCCTGTTAATCGTCGATTGCCTCGAGCAGGCCCCAGTAACGTCTCTTTCTTTTTTTTTTCTTTTCTTTTTCTAAGGCTAAAAAAGAAGCCATCAAGGAACAATTGTCTGCAAAGTCATCTGAATCATAAAAGTGGATATTAAGGATTTTTGACAAAGAAAAAATCTAACAAATTATAGAGAATAATCTGTCACTCTAAAAGTCAGTTTTCACCATTTATTTCATCTTCCTCTTTTCCTTCAGAATCGTACTCCGATTTGGACACTATTTTGAGGTTGTGTGCCCAAAGCTGTGCTCACAAACTGATTCTTTGATCCCAAATAAAAATGTACTTTACCAGTTAAGGGTCTCTAACAGCTGATTTAATTGGTCTCTTTCTATTCTTATCACTTTCTTTAAATTTCATTCTTCTTTTGAAATGTGGAGAAGCTTTAGGGGAATATCCAACGGAAAACTGATCTGCTTTCTACAGTTTCTTCCTGGAGTATATCTTTAATTATAGCATTGTATTTTATATACTTGCAGAATGCTTTTTATCTCTTTGCATCTACTGTGTTTTTATTTCAGCCTTTTGCCTCTTTGCTTTTTTTGTAATCGGGCTACATCTTGACATACCGAACTGTTTTCCGCAAGTATTCTAGCGCCTACAGATCTTTTCTGCAGTCTGCTCTTGATACTCAAAATTGTTCTTTTGTTTCTCCGATCCTCGTTGCTGCCAAGATTTCCAAGTAGAATGTCTTATTAGTCAACAGCATCACATGACTAGACCCAGTTCCCCCCCACCCCCTGCGACCCTCCCCCGCCCAGCGCCCCATTCAAACTCCAAGGACACACCGCAGCACAGTAAAATGCCTGGGTCGGGGTCGTACGCTTTAAAACAAAACCTGCCGACTTCTGTTCGATTCTCGAAGTAAAGCAGATAACTGACAGGCCAGCGTCGGCTTCCATTGGGCACTACGTATGAACTGACGTAGTCACACACAATGGACGACCTCAATCCTGAATCCGATATGACATTTCAAAACTGTGGCTCATGACCATTCCGAGCATTATCAAGACAATGTAACAAACGGTCACCGGACTTTTTTAAAGGAACAAAAGGCAGAGTGCGGGGAGGGTAGTAAGGCAAGTCATGCACCGCGAAACGCCACGTCTGCGCCTTATCAGTGCGCTGACATCCTACAGTCCGCCGGGTCACACAAGCCCCCATCCCGCGGTAGGCTTGTCCCATCCCGGTCCCGAGCGCTTCCCGAGCGGAGGCCCGCGGGCCTGGCAGGGGATGCGGAGGCTTCTGGGAAACGGAGTCCGGCGGCGTCCCAGGCCCGAGGGGTTTGACGTAGCGCCGGGCGCGGGCGGGGTCCGCTCCTCCACCGGAAGTGGCCGCTGAAGCTGCTGTCGGTGTGACAGGGGCTGGACGCTGGGGACGGCTGGACGCTTTGGCTCCCTTCGCTAGGTTCGGTGACTGTCCAGCGCCTCCGGACCGGGCCTGGGAGCTCCAGATCGCGGGGGTGGGAGGGAAGCCCAGGTATCACCATGGCAACCGCTGGCCTTCGGGCAGCGTGACGTCACCTTGCTGCCTACGTAGGAACTGGCCTCTGCAGGAGGGAGCTGGGGAGTCCTCGAAGGGGACGCCCCCCAGCCTCCTCGGTGCCGGGAGGATCCGCCCTGATCCCCGGGAGCGCTTTGTTCTTTTGTTCCCGTCTGAGGCTGGGCCCCGGCCGCTCCGCCCCGTCTGTCCACCTTGTCCACCTTCCAGTCTCCGCACCGCAACAGGTGTGTCTTCCCGTGGCCCAGGCGCATGCAGGTGATGGCCCGGTCGTGGGCGCTGCGGGCCGGACCCTCGGCTGGGCATCCACGGCCTTTTGAACTGGGACTGAAGCAGAGCACTGCATCACCACTCAGATTTTGTTCAGCGGAAACGCCAGATGCCTGCCGGGAGCTTGGGAGCACTGAGCCTTTCCTGGGTCTCTAGGGTGTGATGCAAAACTCAGCGGTGATAGGGTGACAGATGCGACTGACCCCATCTATGTCTTTTAGGGCGGCCAGCGGCAGCGTGTGGCAGGTTCCTTACTGGACGCTCAAGACTCAGACCGAAGTTCCAGCTGCCTGGAAGGACGTTGCCTGGGCGACCCGTAGTGTGCAGGTTCCAGAGGCGTGGCATGAACTGAGATGGAAGGTAGGGGGTCGGCTGGGCAGAGGGGGCGGCCGGCGCAAAAGAACAGTCAGACTGGCAGGTGAACGATGGAAGGAGGGAGCCCTGTGCCTATGTTGGGGAAAAGAAACCGAGTTACAGCATGGAGACGCACTCTCAACTTACCGGAAAAATTTCCTGGATCCAGGAGAGAAAGTAAATTCACAAAGTCTGTGATTCCCACATGCCTTCTGCTTAGAAAATATTGGAACGATAATGATGCAGGGAGGGAAAATACTGGTTAAGATAAGTATCAGTTTTGAAATCTAAATGGTTCTTTGTCAAAAGCCTGTTCCCAAAAACGCGTGGCATGAACTCTCCACTTTGGATGTACACAATGTCCTTGTCTGCTCTCTGTTTAGTTCCTTATAACTTTGGTGCTGATCTTAATTCTTAGTTCCCCAAAGCAAGAGACAGCTCTTACACTGCTAAACCTAGAGGTCCCGCCCCCAGGATAGCACAGCTGCTATGGCCCCTCCGTCCCTGCCAGGAGTGACCCCTGAGCACAGGCAGATGTACACCCTCCCCCCCCAAAAAAATTATCATAGCTTGTAGTCATCATTTTTGTTGTAGTTTTTGTTTTGGGGTTATACCAGTGATGTTCAGGGGTTACTCCGTTAGACCTGGTGCTGCTGGGGGACCGGAAGCAGGTGCAAGGCAAGTGCCCTCCCCTGTACTATCGCTCGGACCCCTCCTATTCACATATTGTTTTCTAAGCCAAAGAACCTGCATTCCTTTGGTGGGTTCTGAAATGCATCTCCTTGTCTCATGGCAGCATATTCTTAGAATTCACTGCCTCGGGGCTGGGGAGACAGTTCAGGGGATTAGACTCCTGACCAGCGCGGGGACCAGGTCCTCTGAGCTCTGGGAGTGGCCCCCAAAAAAAAAACAAAAATGCACGACCAAAAACTACACAGTTCTATAGTTGTGCTTTGAAAAATGCCTAAAGTTATGATGTACTCTTAAAAAATGTAAGTTATACTTCTATTTCTCGGTATCAGATGGTATCTGCTTTTTAAAAAAAATCAATGATATTATACTTTATTTCGAGGAGCTTTGGGGCCGCATCCGCCGTGCTTGGAAGTTGCTCCTGGCTCCGTGCTTCTAGGTCCTGGTGGTGCTATTGCCCTGCAAGAGCCTTCACCCACGTACTACCTCTTCAGCCCCCAATACTGTACTTTAAACTGTGTATCTTACATTAATTTCAGTAAACTAGATTTGTTCTTTTCTTTCATAATGAAACTGTGCTGTTTTGTGTTTGCTTTTTGACCACAGCCAGCAATGCTCAGGAGTTACTCCTGGCTCTGCAATCAGAGATCACTCCTAGAGTGCTTGAGGGACTGTGGGGGATGCCGGGGACTGAACTTTGGTTGGCCAAGTGCCAGCAAGCACCCTACCTGCTGTACTATCCTTCTGGCCCCTGAAACTGTGTTTTCTCCTTGATATTGAAGGCATACGATTTTATGCACTGTACTGCTGAGCCACGGCCCTGGCACTTAATCTTTTTTTCTTTTTTTGGCAGGGGGTGGGCAGAGGGCATGCATACCTGGTGGTGTGGGGGGTACATGTGCCAGGTATTGAACCCTGGCCTTACAAAGCATGCACTCCACCCACTGAGATATCTCTCCCTGTGTAAGAGTCTTGTTTCTTTCTGTTAGTGTGTTTTGTGTTGCAGTTTGTTTCAGCTGTGTTCAGGGCTTACTTCAGGGTCTGCCCTCAGATTTTACTCCTGGCAGTACTCAGGGGACCAAATGGGATGCTGGACATCAAACCCCCATGCAGGACAAATGCCTCCCCCTGTACTCAGGCGCCTGAGGTTGTTTGTTTCTGTTTTGGAGCCAGAGGGCTGTGCTAAGGGCTTCGTCCTGGCTCTGAGCTCAGAGTCACTCCTGGTAGGCTTGGGGGGAACATACGGGGTGACAGGGATCGAACCGCACCCCATCAGTCAAGTGCCTTACCCATTGTACCATGTCTCTGGGCCCTGGGTTCTTAACATTAAAGTATTTATGTAGGTTTATGCTTTACCATGGTTTTGCCTGGTAAATTCTTTTTTCAGTTTAAGATACAAAGTATGGTGGAGTTCATGCCCAATTCAATCAGCTTAATCAATGGCTGAATAAATAGCAGTACTCCTACATTTAAAAAAAATACGAAGTATCTTATTTCTTACAAAGTATCTTAATTCTCATCCTTTTTAAGATACTCTCACTGTCACTGTCCTCCCATTATTCATCGATTTGCTGTCCTCCCGTTGTTCACTGATTTGCTCAAGCGGGCCCAGTAACATTGTGAGACTTCTTGTTACTGTGTTTGGCATATCAATATTAAATACGTCACGGGTAGCTTGGTAGCTTGCCGGGCTCTCAGAGCGGGACGGAGGAATCGAACTCAGGTCGGCCGCGGTTGGCCGCCTCGGCCAGTGGGCGTTGTGTGCAAGGCAAATGCTCTACCTGCTGTGCTATAGCTCCATCCCTTTAAGATACAAAATATCTTATTCCTTACAATTGCATATATACTATTACCTTAAAGTCAAAAGTTTAATTTAACAGATCAACTACTGGGCCAGGGAGGTGGTCAAGGGCTGAAGAGCAGGCTGCCAGCATGTACCCAGCACGGCCTCCAAGCGCCATATGGAAACAAATCGAAGTAATCCTCTCACAATATCACCCAAAATAGAAAGTAGGAACATGATCTATATGAATGTGCAGAATTGCTAAGGAAAATTGTTGAGATACAATCAACCAATAATTCTGCTGGCGGTAAAGCTGTCCAACGTGATGATCTGGCTACGTACGTATTTCAAAATGATTCACAATAATACATGTCACCTCACATATTTGCTGGATATGTGTATAGGGATGGAAGAACACTTGAGACTGACTCTCTTAGCAACTCTCAGGTATGTAACAGAGAATTAACAATAACCAGCATGTTGTACATTAGATCCCAGGGTACCTTCCTACCTCCTGGAAAAGACTATCCTACTCATTGTTTCTAAGCACTCAACCTTTTATAATTCAATATATAAGTGAGATCTTTCTGTAACTGTCTTTCTCTGTCTTACTGCGCTTAGCATACTGGTCTCCAGAACCATCAATGTTGTCATAAATGATAGAATTTCCTTTAGATGACTGAATAATCGGTTATGTATAAACACAAACACCCAGTGTTAGGAATGCAAATTTATAAAGCCACTATGGGACAACAATATGGAAATTAAGAAATTTAAAAATAGGGATGGGGATGTGGCTTAGCCATGGACCCTGAGTTTGATTCCTGATGCCACACACAGAAATTAAAGGGTCGAAGAGGTAGCTTAAGGGTTATAGGTGCATGCCTTGCAAATAGCCCCCTCTGGGTCAATCCCTGGTCCTCTGAGCATCTCTGGGTACAGCCCCAGAGGTTCCCAAGCTCTCAGGTGTGGCCCAGGTAATCATTGGAACTACATGGGCTTGAATAGCATCAGTCATGATACTGAACTGCTAGCCTGACTGGCAGAGAATTGTTGGGAGACTCCCCTCTCCCCAAATTAAAATCAAACTATTATATGACTGCCCTGTCCTGCTTCAGCTATGTATCTAAAGAAAATTAAGTCACTATTTCAGAGAGGTAACTGTTTTGCAGTGTTAGTCACAGTGCCAAACCATGCAAACCTAAATTATTTCCATTCATCAAGTTAATAAATGTGTATGTGCTGGGTCAAGAGCTAGAGTATAGCAAGTAGCGCGTTTGCCCTTCACACAGCCAAACTGGGTTTGATCCCCGACATCCCGTAAGGTTCCCTGAGTACTGCCAGAAATAACCCCTGAGGACTGCTGGGTGTGACCCCAAAACAAAACAAAAAATGTATGTATATATAATTTCTTGGGCTGGAGCGATAGCACAGCAGGTTCGATTCCTCCATCCCTCTCGGAGAGCCAGGCAAGCTACCGATAGTATCCAGCCTGCACACAGAGCCTGGTAAGCTCCCCATGGTGTATTCGATATGCCAAAAACAGTAACAACAAGTCTCACACTGGAGATGTTGCTGGTGCCTGCTTGAGCAAATCGACGAACAACGGGAGGACAGTGCTACAGTGCTATATAGTTTCTTAGTAGCATAAATTTATGTACATTCCCATCATCGGTGAACAGCAGTTCCTTTGTCCAACAACCTCACCAACACTTCCCTTTTTGATAATCTTTTAACTGGTATGAGAGGTGATACCATTTGGGTGTGCTTTTATCTGATTAGTGATGTTGGGGACTTTTACATGTACCTAAGGCCGTTTGTCTGTCTTTAGAAAGACTTTTTCTTTCAGTTCCTGTGCCCATCTGTTTGTTTCTTTAAATATTAAGTTACTCCTTATCATATTTACAAATATTTTCTCCCATTCTGTAGGTTATGTCATTTTTCTTTCTCTTTTTTTAAGCTCTTCAGACCTTTTAGTTAGATGTAGCGCAGCTGGTTGATTTTTGCTTTTTATTGCTTGTGCTTTTGCAACTATTTTGAAAAAAATAATTATTATCAAAATCAGTGTCAGGGAGCTTTTTCCTCTTTTTCTTCAGGAGTTTTATAGGCTTTAGTGTTTTGTTTTGTTCTTTCATAGTGCCCAAGGCTCAAATCTAGGAATGCACACACACAAGGCATGTGCTCTATCTGAGCCCTATCCCCAGCCCAGGAGTTTTACAATTTTGAATATTAATCCATTTCATTAATTTTTATGACTAGTAAGAGTCTTATACTTGTGCATATAATTAACTTTTTATCCCTTTGAGTATTGTTGGTGCCTTTGTCAGTATTAATTTATTCAAGGGTTTACTTTGGGTTTTTGTCTATTTTTGTCTGTGTGCCCTTTCTGCATCTGTTGAGATGAATGTTTATCATATATTAATATGATAATGTACGCCTTCTTGAGTCTGGTATAAGCAGACTTATAGGCATAGACAATCCTATTGGGTATAGGATCCTTTTGGGTTTAGCTTGCTGAATTTAGCTTGCTAATATTCTCTTTAGAATTTTTGTATCTGTATCTATCAGAGATATTGGCCTGTAGTTTGCTTGTATCTTTATTTTGCTTTGGTATCAGGATGATGCTGATCTTGGGAAACGAGTTTATGAGTTTTCACTCTTTTTCAATATTTTGGAAGAGTTTAAGAAGAACTGGTGTTGTTTCCGATTGCAGTGTTTTGAGTCTACCAGTGAAATCATTTTTGTCTTTGTTAGTCGTTTTATTTACTGATTCATTCCCCTTTTTTGTGGTAATCATGGTAAATATTAATTATGGTAAATTACTGTTTTTAAAAATTTAATTCCATTTGCTGTATTCCATTTGTTTATATTAATCTTACAATCCTTTGATTTTTGTTTCTTGGTTATCTAAAGTTTGTTTTTTCTTTTATGTTCATTTTTTGTTTTATGGTCCCTTAAAATCTTAGGAGTCATGACTGAAGGGCCAGAGAGAAAGTACCACATGTAGGTGCTTACTTGTATGAGGCCGATTGTGGCACCGAATCCTGTTCCCCAACACTGCCAGGAATGATCCCTGAGTTATGGGGGGGGGGGAAGGTGGCGATGTCCACATCAGGTGGTGCTTTGGGGCTATGCTTCGCTTGCTTCCAGTGGTTCTTGGGGGACCATGTGTTGCTAAGGACCAAAACCCCCACCCCAAAGCATGTACCCTAGCTTTTTAAGCCACCTCCCCAGCCTCTATGTTGGTTTCTGTTATTTGAAATCAAAAGCACCTTACCTAAAACATTTATCTTGATTCTATTTTCCTAAAGTCTAACATATATGTCTGCTCATATACATTTCCCTTTATTATTAAAAACTCTAAGATAACATCTTCATTTTTTCCTTCAGATTTCTGTTTTCTCATCAAAATAAAGTCAAAATAGTTTCCTTAATCCTCCCTCTCCCAGGCTTTCATGAGAAAAATTATTCTGAAAAGATTATCTCCCTAAGAGTAAAAGAGTAAAATTTGTATCATGATCACGATCACCCTGTTGTTTGTCGATTGCCTCGAGCAGGCCCCAGTAACATCTCCTTCGTCCTAGACCTGAGATATTTAAAAGCGCCATATTCAAGGCTCTTTCAGGATTAGGAGAATGAGACCCTTCATTGTTACTGGTATTTGGCATATTGGGTACGCCACGGGGAGTTTGCCAGACTCTGCCATGTGGGCAGGTTACATTCGGTAGCCTGCCAGGTTGTTTATATATATAAAATTAGTATATATATATATATATATATATATATATATAGAGAGAGAGAGAGAGAGAGAGAGAGAGAGAGATAGATAGCACAGCGGGTAGGGCATTTGCCTTGCATGCGGTCAACCCGGGCGACCCGGGTTCAATTCCTCCGCCCCTCTTGGAGAGCCCGGCAAGCTACTGAGAGTATTTCGCTCACACGGCAAAGCCTAGCAAGCTCCCCATGAGGTATTCGATATGCCAAACACAGTAACAAGTCTCATGATGGAGATGTTACTGGGCCCGCTCAAGCAAATGGATGAACAACAGGACAGTGATAGTACATATATTATATATATATATGTTACATAAAGTACACAGATTTTAAGTGTATACCCTAGGACTCTACCTTGGTACATTAAGTAACAGTGTAACTCCACACACAAAGAATCAGATTTTGTTTTCTTTTTTGGTCCAGGCTCAGCAGTGTTCAGGGCTTACTCCTGGCTCTGTGCTCAGGGATCGCTTCTGCCTGCACATCTGTGGACTGTGTGCAAGGCAAGCGCCCTACCCACTGCACTATCACTGCCCAGAATCAAGTTTTTAAAGCTCCTGAGTCTTTCTCAGGCGTCTGCTCCTTCAGTCACCATCTAGATAGGCAGCTTCTATTCTAATTTCATCCAATCTGTCAGTTTTGCTGATCTGAATGCACTATAAATGGAGTCAGATAAAAGATATTCTTTCATGTCTGGCTTATTTTCATTTTTGGTCTAGAGTTTTTGAGGAACATTCATGTTTGACAAGTTTTAATATATATTGTGTAATACTAATTCTGTGGAAATATCATGTATGATAATGTCATAAATATCTAATTTTCCCACTGACAGACACTGGGACAGTTTGGGGATACTAATACAGATCCTATGAACAGTCTTGTACAAGTGTTTGGGGGGATGTAGGCCTCATTTTTCTTTTTAAAAATTTTTTGGTTTTTGGGAAACACCCAGCAGTACTCAGGGTTTACTCCTGGTTCTGCACTCAGGGATCATTGCCAGTGAGCTCCAGGGACTACAGATGATGTGGCTCGAACACAAGTCGGCTGAGTTCAGGGCAAGTGCCGTACTCACTGAACTGTCACCCCAGTCCTAAACCTTATTTCTGTGGTTATGCAGAGGAATGAAACTGCTGATTCACTACAAGGGCATATGTTTAGTCTTGGTGCACACTGCCAAATAATTTTCCTAAGTTATTGGTAAGTTTACACCCCCACAGCAGTGTACGAAACTCCCAACTGCTCTACATTCTTGCCAACAGTTGGTATTGACCCTGTCTACTTAAATTAAATTTTCTGGTGGGCGTGTAGGATCAGTGAAATGTCACTGTGATATTTATTTAGCACTAATAGAAAGTTTCAAAGAAAGGTTTGTGAAGTCTTTTGTAATCTATTCATATTTTATTTGTAGCAGAGAAGGCAGAAATATTTTACATGACAATGAGGAACATAAAGTGAGTTGTATGATTCATGTAATTCTTAAGTATGTAGGAGAAAAACTATGAATCTTAATTTTTTTTTTTTTTGGTGGAGGGAGGGTGGGATTCACACCCAGCAGTGCTCAGGAATCATCTCTGGTAGTTCTCAAGGAGCCATATACGGTGCCAGAGATTGAACTGGGATCCGCCATGTGCAAGGCAAGTGCCTTAGCCCCTGTACCATAAATCTTCAAGTAGTGTTTCATATCCTGAGCCTACTGATGAAAGCACAGGGCCTTCATTCATTGGTTTCTTTTTTCTTTGGTTCTGAAAGTAAAGCAAATGGCCTAATTCCTTGTATTGTCATATAAAAAAAGTAGATTCCTCAGATTTCCTAGGATGAGATTCATATGGTTTCTTATTCCTGCCCTAGATCTGTCCTCTCCCAAGTCAGCCCATCTCCAGGAGGGACACCAGTCAGCCAGTTTTCAGGTAAGCTGGTTTCTTGAATGCCACTTTGGTCCTTGGTTTAGGACTGTGCATTGTTTTGCTGTTGGGCATGTGCATGCGAAATGTAGTATTGGCAATTTATTGTGACATTCTGGGTTCCCATCTGCCTGGCCACCATCTAGTCTCTAGCTCAGCTCTCCATCTTAACAAATATCTTCACTATTTCCCACCACTGGCGGTACTCAGGAGCTATGCAGTGCCAGAATGGACTGAACTCAGGGCCCATACATGTAGGCATGTGCTGTACTACTTAAACACTCTCACAGCCCACTAAAGTAGTTTTTGTTTCTGCTTTTTTGAAACAGTCACTTGGTATCAGTCTTTGACTTATATTCAGGCACCAAATTTAAGCTTATTTGGTTCTAAATCCTTTTTTTAAAAAAAGTCCCATAATAGACTCTTCAGCCTTTGTCAGAAACAGTTAAAATACCTGCAATTGTGGATTCTTTCTGATCTTAATTTTAAAAAAATTCTTGGAGGGGGGAACATCCAGCAATACTGAGGGGCAACTCTGAGTTCAGTGCTTGGGGAATGATGTGGTGTTGGTGATGTGACCCAGGCCTTCTATAATGGAAACACGTGTTCCGGCCTGTTGGGTGCTAGCTCTCCAAGACACAGTCTCTCAGAGATGTTAGGCGAGTTCAGAATAGACAGTCTAAGGTCACTCATTCCCTGTGACTGAGGTGCAAGCCATTTCGGCTTGAATCCAGTGCCACGAGCACCATTACTGTTCTCTGAATCCTTTTGCACCATTACTGTTCCCTGATACTTTCCATGGCTGCCACAGTCTTCATAAACCTGCTCACTGGTTCTTTCCAGAATACTCAAGAGGAACCTCTAACTCTGACTGTTTTCCCTGTATAGTTTTCTCTCCTATAGTATTTCCCTGGGAATTCCAGTCACCTTGATTTCCCCAAACTCTCATCATTCTCTCTTAGTTCAGGAACCTTACCAGGCAGTGTCCTGGTTCCCTATCCCAGCATGTCAGCCTGGAAACTGAAGGCAGTAAGATGAAGAGCTTCACCTCATTTGTCTGAAATAGGATTCATCCCGCAACTATATCCAGATTTTCATGTATCATTTTTAAAATTTGATTTTAGGAATTATTGTTTCATATATTTTGTTCAGTGCGGGGGGATGGCGCCGGCTTTTTCAGGAGGCGGCCACGATGCACCCCTCCCCTCCCATGTGGACCAATGCGGCAGCAGCGTCATGGGTGGCAGGAATAGGGCTTTCGGCTTGCCCGACAGGCTGGCAATCTCGGGGTCCTGGGCTTCGTAGGACTTGACCAAGCGGGCAAATTTAAGGACACCTTCCCCATCACAGCTGAAACCTTACACTTTGATGACCTCCCGCTGGATCTGTGTGACCACTGACAGCACGAATTGCAGCATCTTGCCCATGTCATTGCACGCGTTGTCTCGGGCCTCGTCCATGCACACGGCGTTTTCTGGGATGGAGAACGCCTGGATCACCTCGGCCAGGACCACCTAGTCTGCTTGGTGCTCAGGGCCACAGGAGGGACCATGGCAGATGCCATGGGGGTGACAAAGGCTGCACCGCACACGTGGGGGCACCGAAGAAATGATCAGGAAGAAAGGATCAGCCAGACCAGCAGAGGCAAAAGGGAAGCTGCATCAGCTCTGGCCGGAAGCGCCTTGTCATAACCCCGGCTCCCCAACTCCTGAGACGAAACGCTCCCAGATGCATTAACTGTATAGAGTAGGCGGAGTACCCATAACGCAGGGTATATGTCCCTAAACTACACCCAGTTAGACTGAGTGACTCTATTGCTAGGAACCGTGTGCGTTAGGAGGGGGCTTTCTGGTAGACACCAGAAAGCCTGCTAGACAAATTCTAAAAGAGCTGTAGCTCTTCGATCCTCTGCCTGCTCCCAGCAGCCTGGCAGACCTCCACTACCTCCACTACCTCCACTACCCAGCCGCCCCCACACTCCAGGATGCTTTTTGAATCGCTTTGCGGCCGCGTAACACATCATAAAACACTCAATATAAGATTACCGCACCATATTTGATGGGTTTAAATATGGTTTTAACCATGGGAACACCTGCAAGGACGATTAGAGGCCACCCTAAAAGCCTCTATCCCTCTGAGAGCCTGGCAAGCTACCGAGAGTGTCCCACCCGCATGGCAGAGCCTGGCAAGCTATCCATGGTGTATTTGACATGCCAAAACCAGTAAATACAATGGGTCTCATTCCCCTGATCCTGAAGGAGCCGCCAATACGGCAGCATTGAGAAGGATGAGAAAGGAGAGGCTGATAAGATCTCAGAGCCAAACTAGGCTGCCAAAACGAAGGAGGACAAAAATGACTGTCTGTACTTTCAAGGGACGTATGCTAGCATCGGATGAATCCATCGAGGACCTGATGGTGCAAGCACAAAAGATCAAGTATGGCATCTTTGGTCTGACTGAGACAAGAAGGCATCAATCACATCATGCTGTTTTTGACACTGGAGAAGAACTGTGCCTCAGAACATGCGACAAAAGAGGTGTTGGAGGTTTCGGTGTCCTTGTCAATACAAATTTGGCCATAAACATTGATTCATTCAAATGCCTAACAACCTGAATTGGACGATTACACTGAATAGATGTGGCTCACTGCTGGCTGTTTCTATCTTCATTGTCTATGCACCAACATCCAATTATGATGAAGGAGAAATTGAGAAGTTCTACATGGAACTGGAGAAGTTCTATAAAGAAGACCACACCTTCTAAAGATCATCGTCGGTGATTTTAATGCCAAGATAGGACCGAGAAGATCAGCTGAAGAACTCCACATTGGGACCCATGGCCTAGAATGGAACGAACAGGGTGAGAGACTGTCTGAGTTCATCATGTCGACCAAGACCATTCATGGTAACTCACAATTCCAGAAGGCCGAATCTAAATGTTGGACATGGGAGCCTCCCGGTGGACAGTTCCACAATGAAATTGACCACATCATATTCAATCGATGGTTTTGCCTGACCCATGTCGCTGTTGTCCCAAAATTCCAAACGGGATTGGACCACCATCTCCTTCATGCAAAATTCTACTTCACAGAGCGGGGAGAAAGGGCTGCAAAGTTTAAGAAGAGAACTCCCAGAACGACCACCAACTGGGAGCTCTTTGGCACAGGGAAGATGCCATCATTGACAATACCGACGAGGAATACGATCGACTGGTTCAGCACCTCTATGATTGTGCAAAGAATGCTGAGAGAGAGAGAGAGAGAGAGAGCCACAAAAAGACGCCTGTCTTTGAAAACTCTTGAGCTCATTCACCAACGTGGCTTGGCGCAAGCCTCAGGCAACCACAAGCGAATGTCCGAGCTCACAAAGCAGTGCAGAGAAGCGATAAAGGAAGACCAAGAAGAGAGAAGAACAGCAGTTCTGGCAGGTGCGGCAGAAGCTCAGAAAAGCATTCACAGTGCCCGCCTGTCCTTTGCCAACAAGACCAAGATGACTACCCTCCAACATCCTGATGGATCTATCACATCTTCCAGAAGGACAATGGAGATGATTATCCATGACTTCTACTCGGATCTCTCCGATAGCCACGTCCACCTGCCCACATACCAAATTCCGCAGGATGGATATGTCATTCCCAACGTTCTCCCTTCCAAAATCCGACACACCATTTCATCGGTAAAGAAGTGAACAGCACCCGGCCAAGACAGGTCAGACCTGAACACCTGAAGAACCTGCCGTCAGTACTCATCAGTACACTGGCTTGGCTCTTCACACGCTACCTGTCTGAATGCAAGGTTCCATCCCAATGGAAAACCAGCAGGACTCTACTACTGTACAAGAAGAGAGACATCCACAATATTGGCAACTATCGCCTGATCTGCCTGTTGTCTGTCATCTACAAGCTGTTCACTTGAGTCATCCTGAATAGGACTGGCAGAAAACTAGATGAAGGACAACCATGCGAGCAAGCCAGTTTCTGAAAAGGATTCAGCACAATCAGCCATATCCAAATGATCACCAAGCTCACTGAGGTTTCTCAGGAGTTCAAGATGCCGTTCTGTCTAATGTTCATTGATTTAAAGAAGGCCTTTGATTCTGTTGAGACTGAAGCGGTCATTGAAGCCCTGGCCAAACAGGGCGTTCATACTCAATGCATCAGGATCCTCCGTGAGCTGTATTGCAGATTCACTACCAGGATCTCACCATTCTACAAAGAAGCAATCATTGATGTCAAGAGAGGGGTTCGGCAGGGTGATACCATTTCACCGAAACTCTTCAGTGCCACCCTCAAGAACATCATGCGACAACTGGAATGGGAAGGAATAGGAGTGAAGATAGAAGGTCGGCAACTACACCACCTCCGCTTCGCTGATGACATCATTCTAATAACACCAAACATCCGTCAAGCGGCACAAATGCTGGCCGACTTGGACTGTGAGTGTGGAAAGGTTGGACTACACAAAGACAATGTTTATGAGAAACAGTCTCGTTCCTGACGTTCCATTCACTCTCAACAGGACAAACATCTCCGAATGCAACGGTTATGTATACCTAGGTCGAGAAGTCAACATGACGAATGACCTGGCACCCAAGTTGTGCAGGACGAAGAGAGCCACTTGGAACACCTTCAAGAGCATCGAAGAAATAGCTAAGAGGATGAAGAATCCCCAGCTCCAGACACATCTCTTTGATTCCACTGTTCTTCTTGTATTAACATACGCCTCAGAGACCTGGGCCCTACGAAAACAGGATGAGAACGCTATTCAGGTCTACCAAAGAGGAATCGAAAGAGCTATGCTTGGAGTATCACGCTTCACTCAAGTGAGAGAAAGAATCAGAGTTCCGGCCTCTGTTGACGGTCAAGAATCAAGGATGTGGGTTGGAGCAATAGCACAGTGAGTAGGGTGTTTGCCTTGCACACGGTCGACCTGGGTTCGATCCCCAGCATCCCATATGGCACCCCAAGCACCACCAGGTATAATTCCTGAGTGCAGAGCCACGAATAACCCCTGAGCATTGCTGGGTGTGACCCCCCCAAAAAAAAATCAAGGACGCTGTCTCATTTGCCAAGGTGTCGAAAATCAGTTGGGCTGGACATGTAATGAGATTTGGAGACGACCCTTGGACTAGAGTCATTACCGACTGAATTCCACGGGACGTCAAAAGATCGTGTGGCTGCCCACCTATGAGATGGTCAGACTTCTTCCTCAAGACCCTGAATGATTGGTTTGAAGCTGTTCCTAGAATGAGCAGACAGCATTGGGCTACACTAGCATGCGACAAAAATGAATGGAGACATTGTTGGCGCCCGCTCGAGCAGACTGATGAGTAATGGGACGTCAAGTGATCAAGTGATTTTTTTTTCAGAAATTTTTGTTGTTTTTTTTTTCTTGGGGTTACAGTCAGCTGTGCTCAGGGCTTACTTCTGGTTCTATGCTTGGGATCACTCCTGGCCCGGGTCATGGAACTGTTTGTGATGCCAGGGATTGAAAATGGGTCGGCCACATGCAGGGCAAACAGGCCACCCACTGTATTATCTCTCCAGCTCGATACTGAACACTTTTTTTTCTCCACCTTGAACAATTCTTATTAGAATATTCAAATCTGTGAGTGATGCCATTTTACATCTCTTTGACAACAGAGGAAACATTAGAATCACTTTTTAGAGCTCAAAGCTTGTTTCACTTCTTTTAGCACTGCTAACTTCTTCCCTTCTCTAGGTAAATGTTTTGTGACTGAGCAGAAATATGTTTGGTGTTTCAGGGATCAGTGACCTTCAAGGATGTAATAGTGGACTTTACCCAGGAAGAATGGAAACAGTTGGATCCTGGACAGAGAGATTTGTTTAGAGATGTGACATTAGAAAATTATACACACCTTGTCTCTATAGGTAAAGACTTCTCAATTCAGTATCTGGGAGTGTAGCAAATTCTTGTATGCTTATTCAGTTAAGGATTCAAAGATACTTAAATTTTGAAAAATATGTTATGATTACTATAGTCTATTAGCACTTTGATCTAATGATTTTTCTTAGTCAAGTTCCCAAATTGTTGTGATTTTGTCTTGGGATTTTTAACAATCCTGTTTATGATTTTAAAAAAAAATTGTTTTCTTTCTGGGCTACACCAGGCAGTATTCAGGGCTTACTCCTGGCTCTGCACTCAGTGATCACTGCTGGTAGGCTCAGGAGATCATGTGGGATACCAGGAATTGGACCTGGTCAGCAGTGTATAAGGTATATAAGGCAAGTGCCCTGCCCACTGTATTACTACTCCAGTCCATGTGAAATTTTTAACATTTAAGTTAAAATTGTCCCACATTTTTTCCTCTAAAGAGAAAATAGACTCTAACATGGCATTTTCCCATTACTGAGACTGTGTTCTTCTGCCCCTCTGAACAGGACTCCAAGTTTCCAAACCTGATGTGATTTCACAGTTAGAACAAGGAACAGAGCCTTGGATTGAGGAGTCAAGCTTTCCAGTGATTGCATTTGGAGGTACGTAATGGGCAACGCACAGATGAGTGTCCTAACATTAAGCCTGACTGGAAATTTCCTATGCAGAATGTAGACACGCTTGCTTCTCTTTAAAATATCTCCTGGCTGGAAAAGGAGGGTATCGTGCTGAATGAAGTCAGCCAGAAAGAGACTAGACAGAGAGAGAATGACCTCTCTTATGTGGGATATAAAGAAACACAGTATGGAAATCACAAATGGTCAAAGAGAAAAGAACCTGAGAATTGGTTTATGACCTGGGCCTGACTTGCGCAGGGTGGGAGAGGCCAGGGGGATTAGTTGGGAGGGGATACTTTGGCGGAGGCTGTGGTGCTGCAGCATGTTCACATGACATGTAGTCGCTGGCGGTACCGTAACCCTATAGAGCTCTAGCCAAACAAAAAGGAAGTATCCCCTGTAGAGAAATGGAAAGCCATTATCATTCTCCTTCGCTACTTCCAACTTTCTCCCCAAATCAGAGGGTAATTTTTAAAGTTTCCAGAATGTTCTAACAGCTTTATATTTAGTTTCATTAGGTCGCTCCCACAATAGCAGATTTCCCTCACCTCTTCATTCAGTAGACACTGATGTTTTCTTTTTCTTCCAGACTGGGAGAAAGGATCAGGAAACAATGTGTCAGTTCCACAGCTCAACACTGCTGAAGTAGAGACATCTCCAGAGGCAATAGCAGAAAAACCCAAAAGGGATGATCCTGGCTGTTCCAACTTCTTAGCTACTTGGGAATCTGACAGCAATCAAGAGAGGCAACAGAAAACCCCCCAGACACTGCCCAGGGAAGTCAAAACAACAGAAATGACAGTGTCCACCTGTGAAAGAGGCCCTGAAAATAACCCTGAAAACAGCATCAGTATGAGTTCAAACCTTGGGACACAGCAAGAAAAACCAGCAGAAAATACCTCTACTAAAACCAGAGTCAAAAAGAATCCAGTTAAAAAAGAGAAAACTTGTAAGTGCAATGAATGCGGGAAAGCTTTCAGTTACTGCTCAGCTCTTATTCGCCATCAGAGAACACACACTGGAGAAAAGCCCTACAAATGCAACGAGTGTGAAAAAGCCTTCAGCCGGAGTGAAAACCTGATAAACCACCAAAGAATTCATACTGGAGACAAACCATATAAATGTGATCAGTGTGGAAAAGGCTTCATTGAAGGTCCATCTCTTATTCAACATCAAAGAATTCACACAGGAGAAAAACCCTATAAATGTGACGAATGCGGGAAAGCCTTTAGTCAGAGAACCCACCTTGTTCAGCATCAAAGAATTCATACTGGTGAGAAACCATACACTTGTAATGAGTGTGGAAAAGCCTTTAGCCAGCGAGGCCATTTCATGGAACACCAGAAAATTCATACAGGAGAAAAGCCTTTCAAATGCGAAGAATGTGATAAAACATTCACGAGGAGCACACACCTCACTCAACACCAAAAAATTCATACTGGAGAAAAGACCTATAAATGTAACGAATGTGGGAAGGCCTTCAATGGGCCCTCAACATTCATCCGTCATCACATGATTCACACTGGTGAGAAACCATATGAATGCAATGAGTGTGGGAAAGCCTTCAGTCAGCACTCGAACCTCACTCAACATCAGAAAACACACACTGGGGAGAAACCCTACGATTGTGCTGAATGTGGAAAATCTTTTAGTTACTGGTCATCCCTTGCCCAGCATCTAAAAATTCACACTGGAGAAAAGCCTTACAAATGCAATGAGTGTGGAAAGGCCTTCAGTTACTGCTCGTCCCTTACACAGCACCGGAGAATTCACACCAGAGAAAAGCCTTTTGAGTGCAGTGAATGTGGAAAGGCCTTCAGCTATCTCTCCAACCTTAACCAGCACCAGAAAACTCATTCCCAGGAGAAAGCCTATGAATGTAAGGAATGTGGGAAAGCCTTTATTCGGAGTTCGTCTCTGGCTAAGCATGAAAGAATTCACACCGGTGAGAAGCCCTACCAGTGCCATGAATGTGGGAAAACCTTCAGTTATAGCTCATCTCTTATTCAACACAGGAAAATACATACCGGAGAAAGACCGTACAAGTGTAATGAATGCGGGAGAGCCTTCAATCAGAACATACACCTGACACAACATAAGAGAATCCACACAGGAGCAAAGCCGTATGAATGTGCCGAATGTGGCAAAGCCTTTCGACACTGCTCATCTCTGGCTCAACATCAAAAAACTCACACAGAAGAAAAGCCCTTCCAGTGTAATAAGTGTGAGAAGACTTTTAGTCAGAGCTCCCATCTGACGCAGCATCAGCGAATTCACACTGGAGAGAAACCCTATAAATGTGATGAGTGTGACAAAACATTCAGCCGAAGTACTCATCTGACTGAACATCAGAACACTCACACGGGAGAGAAACCTTATAACTGCACTGAGTGCAGGAAGACTTTCAGCCAGAGCACTTATCTCATTCAGCATCAGCGAATTCATTCAGGAGAGAAGCCTTTTGGCTGTAGTGATTGTGGAAAAGCTTTCAGATACCGATCTGCTCTCACTAAACACCAGAGGCTGCATCCAGAGCTTTCTAAGAACATCCTAAATGGAGGGGATACATTACTCTAATATGTCTTTCTTAAGTACTGAAGAATCAGAGTGGAGGAACTGCTTTCCATTTTGATAGTGTGGAACGGAAAGTACACTGGGCTGAACTAATTCAATTACACTGTTAAATAATTTTGTTCTATTGGAAAACTCAAGAATTATGCTTCAATTTCCTCTGTGAAATGAGGGTTTAGTGAAGATTATTTTAAAGGTTTAGAGTTTTATATTCAGTTTTGTATATTCACAATATATTCCAAATAGGATTATTATACACTGGCATTTTGCTGTGTTGCATCTATAGTGTGCATGCATGTTTTGCCCATAGGAAACATCTATGCTTCAGTAACTAGGTGGGATGGGGGTTGTCTATTATGTTCCTGTTCTAATACTGAAGTAAAGTACTTGGTTCCTAATTTTAAAAAACAAACACACTCCAAATTAATGATTCGCTAACATATGGCTTAACTGAGTACAAATATTAAAACCCTTTCTCTTCTATTATGTCTTAACATTTTCTAAGAATTTATTGTAACTACCTCTGCATTTTGAACAGTGTTCCTTAAATCTGAGGGTTTACCTTAAACCTAGATGCACAATGGAATCACTTAAGAGGCTTTATAAAGTTCTACTGCTAAAACTACACACACAGATTTTAATTCAGTTGGCCTAGGGAGTACAACCCACGTGTCAGTAGTTTCCTAAACTTCTGTGTGCATCTCAGAAAGAACTACATTAAATTAGGAAATTGAGCCTCATTAGATTAGGTTCAATATGTTTCCTCACCAACATGAAAAAATTATATGACTTTGTCAAAACAGTGGGGTCAATAGGCTGGAACGATAGCTCAGAGGGTAGGGCGTTTGCCTTGCATGCAGCCGACCCGGGTTCAATTTCCAGCATCCCATATGGTCCCCTGAGCACTGCCAGGAGTGATTCCTGAGTGCAGAGCCAGGAGTAACCCCTGTGCATTGCCCAAAAAGAAAAAAAAGATGGGGTCCAGGCAGAGCAATAGTACAGCAGGTAGGGTGCTTGCCTTACACATGGCCAACTGGGGTTCTATCCCCAGTACCCCATATGGTTCCCCGTGTCCCATCAGGAGTTATTCCTGAATGCAGAGCCAGGAGAAACCCCTGAGCACTGCTGAGTGTGCCCCTCCCCCCAAAAAGGAAAAAATGATGTGGTCATTTCATTTGCGTTTCCTTGGACATCTGCTATCAAAGGAAAATAACACTTAGTGACACTGGTAAGGTGCAAACCCAGAACCTCTGTGGCTTTTTGTTCCAGTCCTGGTCAGGCTGATGTTTAAGCCAGAAATAAATAAGGGTTAGTCACGAAGGAACATATTTTCTTCAGATATTATCAAGTAATCGAGCCAGTTCTTTTAAGAGAAGTTGATTTCCCAGCCTAGCTTCAAGAACGAAATCTCTGCGATCAGAAAGTAGCAGAGAAAGGATCATTATTTATATAAAACAAACTATATATTCTTCCACACATTTTATCAAGAGTAATAAAAAACAATAGTCCTTTTTGCTCAAATGTCAGTGACTAGTAGTAGAGTTTTGTCACCTCCTTAACTAAAGGAAGTGTTGAAACTAGAATTTAAGAAATAACATGACCATGTTCTTTCATAAATTAAAACATCCACAATAGAATGCTGTCTTGGCATTTCCTGGGGCCACCACTCTGGGCATACTAACACTATCCAATCCACAAGGAGCAATCTCTAGTGGTGGGAATTAGATGAGAGGAATGGATATCAGGTTATAGGATAAACACTGGTTGGGAACTGAGCCAGTCCCACAGAACAAGGAAAGGAAGAAGTTTCTGTGTTCACATGCAAATTCCTCAATTCTGATGGAGATCTATTTTTGAGGTGCAGAATGCTAAGGAAGGAACAGGTTCACAGAAGGGATAAGGAATTATTCAGTTTTGAGACTTACTAAACAAAGAAAAGGAACACAAGTCCAAAGTCGACTGCATTTGTATACGACGACCCTGATGAAGAAATGGAGGATCACCAGTATTCTTCTAGTTACAACCTCTTTCTTTTTCCTCAAAAGTTATCACTAGGGCTAGAGAGATAGCACAGCAGGGAGGGTGTTTGCCTTGCACGCGGCCCACCCGGGTTCAATTCCCAGCATCCCATATGGTGCTCTGAGCACCACCAGGAGTAGCTCCTGAGTGCAGTACCAGGAGTAACCCCTGTGCATCACCAGGTGTGACCCAAAAAGAAAAAAAATAGTTATACCTAGCCTGAGTTACAATTCCATAGATTTGTTTGGTCTGTATTTGATATCTGGTTGCAGTTTACTTTTATATCTACTTTTAAAATTTTATTTAGAATGTATATGACATTAGTCTATGTTGTTGCAAGTAGCTACAAATGTAACATTATTTATTTAACCTTCTGCAGATAGAGCATTTTAATTCTTCCATGTTGATGGAGTAACATATCTAAGTATGAAGGACAGAGTCTGCTGTCAGACTTGAAGCAGTCTTCTTCCCAGCTACAGGTCTTCTGTCCGGCATACCCAACATATTACAAACTTACCTCTCTTAGGAGGGCCTGGAGCGATAGCACAGCGGTAGGGCGACTGCCTTGCACATGGCCAGCCAGGCCAGCCTGAGTTTGATTCCTCCACCCTTCTCAGAGAGCCCAGCAAGCTACCGAGTGTATCTCGTCCGCACGCCAGAGCCTGGCAAGCTGCCCGTGATGTATTTGATATGCCAAACACAGTAACAACAAGTCTCACAATGATGGAGACGTTACTGGGCCCGCTCAAGCCAAATTAATGAACAACGTGAGGACAGTGCTAGAGTACTACTCTCTTTTTTCATGCAAAAGCCACTTTGTTCTTAGTCTATTTCTACCTTTTGAGAAATGAAAATAGTTAATGTCTTGGTACCATGGGTCAAAACTAGAGCCTCATAGCAAGCACATGCTCTGCCAGTATGCTTCATCCCCCAAGCCATATTTCTATTTGTTCTGTGTATTAGGGCTGGAGCGATAGCACAGCGGGTAGGGCGTTCGCCTTACAAGCGGCCAACATGGCCGACCCGAGTTCGATCCTCTGCCCCTCTCAGAGAGCCCGGCAAGCTACCGAGAGTATCTTGCCCGCACGGCAGAGCCTGGCAAGCTCCCCATGACGTATTCGATATGCCAGACACAGTAACAACAAAGTCTCCAATGGAGACGTTACTGGGCCCGCTCAAGCAAATCGACGATCAACGGGAAGGCCTTTACCTTTTACCTTTACCTGTGTATTAGCAGCTTTCATTGGGGGGCAGGGCGACCCCCTACAGTGTTTAGGAGCTATTCCTGGTTGCGTGGTGAAGAATGATCCCTGGCAGTGTTCAGGGGACCATTTGTGGTGCCAAGGATCAAACTGGAGTTGGCTATATTGGAAGGTAAGCTTCTTAACGTCTATATTATATTTCCGCTTCTCCCCAACTTTTTTTTTTAATTCTGGGGATCAAACTGAAAGCCTCACACACAAAGGCAAAGGTCCTGCCACCTAGAGACATTCCCCATCCTGTCAAAACCTTTCAGGCCACATGAAGACAAATTAAGAAGCAACCCCGGTGAGCCCCTTCTTGATATGGTTCAGATGTAAAAACCGTCATCCCAGGTCCTGAGCAATAGTACAACAGGCAGGTTCAAACCCTGCCACAGCATATGGTCCCCCGAGCCTGCCAGGAGTGATCTCTAAACACCACGGGTGTGCCCCCCACCTCGGACCTCCAAAACATCCCCCATCCCAGCCCCACTCCTTACCCATCATAGGATTACACTGGACTCCTATCCAAGTTAGGAGTCCTGCCTGCTCTGTCAAGCTGTCTCGGGGAGTGTGAAGAGGCTGCTCTGCTTTCCCCCAGAAATCCTCATTATATGGGCAACAAACCTTTTAATACCTTCTTGGTATAGTGTAGAGTCACCAGCCTTGACCGCTGAACCAAATTTCGGGAAGGGGCAATCCATTCTGCGCATGACGTGACTATACTATCCCCGTCACGACCCTCCTTTGGGTTCCTATATGAACACGGCACAGGTTTCCTCTAGCAATATTCAGGCAGAGACTTAGGAACAAAACTGTCTCCCTGCGGAAATAATGACTCTACTACAAAACACATTGCGAAATTAAAATTCATGCTTGCTTGCTGGACTGGACCAAGATGAACTGTGGAAACCCCACGATGGGCCAGAGCAGGGAAAACACCCAGGTCAGCCACATGCAAGGCAAACTCTCTGCCCACCAGATATAATGTACTTTTAATTTCTTTTAAATAAGAGATGTCCTAGGCTTGTTTAAAGAAACAGTATTTTCTCATCTTATTTAAGATGAGAAAAGGAGAGACTGAAAATCAAACAGCATGAGAGGAAAATTCTAAAGGAGACAGAAAGAAATGGTATCACTGCCAAAGTTGGGACGAACAGGAGCTAAGGGTGGGTGTGGAAATGTGTGAGGGACAGAAGGTTGTGGGTGGGCGCAGATGGCAGGCACCTTTGAAAGGCGGAGGATGAGAACTTTGGGGAACAAGAATTCAAAGGAAAACGGTGAGAATCACCGGGAGGGAAGGAGACCACAGCAGCACATGCTGATTGCCCACATGTGTGGGGAATCTTCCTGCCAAGACACCAGCGTTCTGGGTAAAGGGCAGGATGCTAGCTGCGTGTCTCACCCATGTGCAATCTGACTGGCTCAATAAATATCTACTGAACATCCACTCAGAAACTTTATGTCATCCCGATGACCCAAGGCGTGAATTAGAGCAGAAGGCCATCTAAGGCTGATGATTTCAGAAGTGGACTGTGCTGAGAAGAAAGCGCATCCCTATCTCATCAGATGTATTGATCAGAAGTACATCAGATACACAAGAAACACTGTTCACTGCACAATTACTCTGACAAGCATCCTAGCTGCCAAGCATTATTTCCTTATGAAATAACTTCGAGGGGGGCTGGAGAGAGAGTACAGCAGGTAGGAAACTTGCCTTGCATACGGCTGACACAGGTTTGATCCCAGCAACCCCGATGGTTCCCCAAGCACCCAAGTAGCACCAGGAATGATTCCTGAGTGCAGAGCACAACCCTTAAGGATCACTGGATGTACCTTCACCTCCCCCAAAAGAAAGAAAACAACTTCTAGGGGCCAAATAATACTGTGGGTAGGGTGCTTGTCTTGCATGTAGCCTGTGTTTGAACCCCAGCAACCCATATGGTCCCCCAAGCACAGATCCAGGAGTAAGACCTGGGCACCACTAGATGTGGCCCAAAAGCAAAAGAAAGAAAGATGGAAAGAAAAGAAAAAAGAAAAGAGAAAAGAACTTTTTAAATTGCATTGTAATTTAACTTGTAGTTTTACAAAGACGACCGCTGGACTAGAGCTGTTACCGACTGGATTCCACGGGATGTCAAAAGACCGCGTGGCCGCCCACCTACCAGATGGTCAGACTTCTTCATCAAGATCATGAGTGATCGGTTTGAGGCTCTTCATGTTCCCAGAGCGAACAGATGCCATTGGGCTACACTAGCATGCGACAGGGACAAATGGAGATGTTACTGGCGCCCGCTCGAGCAAAGGGAGGACTAACGGGAAGTTAAGTGATTAAGTGATTAAGTTTTACAAAGAAGAGTTCTGTAGTTCTGTGTGTGATGAGTATTTTGTATTCAAGGCCCAAGGATACAAATCTTTTTTTTTTTTTTGGTTTTTGGGTCACACCCAGCAATGCACAGGCGTCACTCCTGGCTCTGCGCTCAGGAATTACCCCTGGCAGTGCTCAGGGGACCATATGGGATGCTGGGAATCAAACCCGGGTCGGCCGCATGCAAGGCAAACGCCCTACCCGCTGTGCTATCGCTCCAGCCCCACAAATCAACAAGTATTTTTTGTTGTTGTTGTTGGATCATACCTGGTAGTACTCAGAGCTTACTCCCGACTCTGTACTCAGAGATCATTCTCAGTGGTACTCAGGGGATCAAATGAGAGCCCTACCCACTGTACTCTCTCTCCAGCTCCAGATAGTTCTTAAAATATGTGGCAAGCACCGTTTTGAAACTGGGAGTAGAAAGAAGAGTGGGGAAAAATAAGTGACTTGCTTTCCCATGTTTGCTTTGGTTATAACGGTTAGTCTGAATGTTTGGTTAGCAAGCACTGTAGCACTGTCCTCACACTGCTCACTGATTTGCTGGAGCAGGCACCAGTAACGTCTCTATTGTGAGACCTGTTACTGTTTTTGGCATATTGTGTGCAAGGCAAATGCCCTACCAGCTGTGCTATCATTCCAGCCCTTGGCAGACTTTAATCAAATAATCATATAAACTAGAAATTGTGGAGGGTCTTCCTGTGCAAAATGACCTCCTCTAGGAAGTCATAGAAGCCTCTGTGACGCAGTGACTCTGGCGCTGAGAGCTGATGCTTGAGAAAGACTGGGCGGGCTGTGTGAACCATGTTCTTGAGTTTCAGTGCTCTCGAGGGTCTGGTTTCTGAGGCCTCTTCCAGGATTATCTAGTCCCAGAGGAATCAAACAACTCTCGCTGACCCCAATGTGCCTTTCTTATGCAAACGAACCAATGGGAATGCGACACCCCTCCCCACAGCCTTTACCCCCAGGGAAGGTACCTGACACCTCTGGGTAGTCTCCACACTCCAGAATCTGCTCAATGACTCAAACTACCTAATCCTGAACCTCTCTTGCCTCACCTGCCCGTTGCCACAGAAACCACCGTGAAGGCTCCGGAGGGGAGAGAGGACAGCGGGTCTGTGCTCACCCTGCAGTCCTGAGCCACATCCCTTAGCCCTCAGACAAGTTTTTCTATAGTTTCTCCATAATTTACAAAAATAATGTGGCTATTATTGTCAGCTGGTTGGCAACCAAAAGAAATACAAAATGGAAAAGGTAACATTCCCTTAAGCAACTTATTAGAGAAAAGAAGATGGTCTAAGAGCCCTCTCCTCTGGGTCTTTCAAACCAACTGCACAGTGGCCAAGCTGTGGCACGCTCAGCCAGAGCTCATTCACGGCAGAAGTTTCCAATGCATTATGGTCTTTTCACGTGACCTCAAAACATCCTGTAAAGTAGGAAAATTATTTTAACAATTCTTTACATTTGTAAAACGAAGAAACTCAGAGGGATAACCTTACTCTGGTTGTTAAAGGTCATAAGGGGACTGTTGGGGGGATTGTTCAGGGTCATAAGGAAGTCAAGAGCGAGATTCCACATGTTTGAGGTATTTTCCGACATCTCCTTTCACAGGAAACCTCTCAAGAGCTGCGTTTGTCAACATCATCGCTGGGCAGGTTCCCCTCCCACCAAGTGATCTTACAGGCTCCTCCAACCCACAGCTCACAGGATTTAAGTAAAGTCACACTCAGGATTAGTTTGCAAGAGTAACCAGATCCACACCAGGAAAAACAAATTCACTAGCAAATTTATAGCACAGTTTCATTAAATGAGGCTGATGGCCAGGAAACAAAAACAACCTAAGAATTCACTAATGAATACTGTTTACCAAAGCTGTATTCATACATTAATGAACTAAGAGCCAGGATCTTTTCTGAGAAATGCAGTAAGGATTTGGTCACTGAGTGACTGTGATGGAATGTGATACATAGTGTGATTTTATCTAGATGGTAAAACCTAATACTCGCTTTGGCTATAACCACTGCATATATAGTCCTCTGTTGACCAAAATGTCAATAGATAATGCAAAAATCATTACAATGGAACACTATTCAGCCACAGAAAAGAATTATACCTTACCATCTGTGACAATGTGAATAAACACAGGTTCAATCAACTAAGTGAATAAGTCAGACAAATACTGTATTATCTCATTTGGAATTTCAGAATTACAACAAAAAAACACAGAAAATAGGATGGTGGAGTAGGAGAAATGGGCGGTTAAGAAGAATTTGAAAGTCCTCATCAAAAGGAAAAATATCCTGTAATTTTATATGAAGACAAATAGTAACTAGATTTATTGTGATGATCATTTTGGAGTATCTACAAATACAGAATCATTACATTAAAGATCTGATCTTAAAACGTCTTAAATCTCAATTATAACTCCATTTTTAACCTACAATTGAAAGAATATATTGCAAAAAATATATTACAAATTCTTTATATTGCAAACACTTTCCATTACAGAAGTCAGCAGATCCAAACCAAAGAAAACCACACAACTCCTTCCCGATCATGCTTCCCCTCGTTCCCCCCCCCCCCACCCTGTTTACATTAACTCAGGTCCACATCCTTAGAGGCAGCAAATCGAGAATTAGAATGCAACCTTGAGTTCATCTAAATTCATTCTGTCATTAATGAAACTTGAGGAGGGGCCAGAGAGAGAGAGAGAGAGAGAGAGAGAGAGAGAGAGAGAGAAACACACCGCCCACCCCTCCCCACCTTTAGGCTGGACCAGGTACAGTGCTTGCCAGGCAGAGCCTGGTGGGACCCCAACAGCCCCCTCCCAACCTGCCACCCCCGCCAAAAACCAAAACCAAAACCACAAACGTTTAGCAAACGTTTGCTTTGAAAAGGCTGCCCTAAGCAGCTTCGCCTCCTGGGGCCAGGCACCTGGTGCCACGTGGCTGAGTATCCCCATGACGGCGGCGTACCCCGAGAGGTCCCCAGCATCGCTTCGGATCGCCGCCCCCCCCCCCCCCCAACACACACCACCAAAGAAAATTTCCTAAAAGCGAAAAGCATCAAGAGCGCATGCGCCGCAGCCTGGGCCTACCTATCCCACGCGGCCTCGGCCTCGAGTGCGGCGCGCGGCCCACGGGGCTCTCGCGGGGCCGGCGGGGAGTTCCGGGCCCAGCGCGCTGTCCTCGTCCTTGGCCTTGGCTCCAGAACAGAAGTTCTTCTAGGAGCAGAAGTTGGAGTTTGGGGCGAAGCTCCTGGGTTCCCGCTGTGGCTTCGAGGCGCAACCTGGAGGCCAGTGCGGGGCGAATGGCCAGAGACAACGGTCGACGCAGCCTACGGGGGCCGGGAAGGGCCGAGCGCGCCGCGCGAAGTCACGCCGCGCGAAGTCACGCGGGATCTCACCGGTCGCGCCCCCCCCCCCCCAAGCAAGCCCCGGAAGGGCCACGACCGCCACGAGGCCTTTTCCTCTCCTGATCCTGGAGGACTCGCATCATGGAAGGTAAACGATTTAAAGATCTTGGACTTCATTTTGGGTGGGGGGTTGAGGGCCACTCCTGGCCCCGTGCGCAGGGGCCACTCTGGACAATGCCCTAAAGATGCAGTTCAATCTCTTTTTTTTTTTTTTTTTTTTTGCTTTTTGGGTCACCTGGTGATGCACAGGGGTTCCTTCCTGGCTCTGCACTTAGGAGTTACACCTAGCGGTGCTCTGGGGACCATATGGGATGCTGGGAATCGAACCCAGGTCAGTCGCGTGCAAGGCAAACGTCCTACCTGCTGTGCTATCTCTCCAGCCCCAGATGCAGTTTAATCTTAGTCAGATATTCCATTTCTGTCTTGTGTTTCTCACTGCTGATTGGGTACCGGATCATCCCCATGCGTGCCCTAATATTTGACACGAAAGGGAATGGTGGTTAAAGTGGAGAAGTTTCTAGAATGTTCTTCCGTTTCCATTTCTAGTCATTGTTTTCATTGCAGCTCTACCCTGTTCTTCAGACGCTTGCTGTTCTCCATCTCCCCAAGGTGGAAGATTCCAGTCTTCCACCTAGTTCTACCCATTTTCTCTTTTCTAAATTATCCCAGCCCCTTTACCAAATTAATTTCCCCAACAAAATATTACCATAATAAAAACACTCCATAATTCTCCTTTGCCTAAAATATTAAACCTACGCATGATTTAGTTCCTCAAGCCTTCATCATCTAGTTATCTAATTCTCACCAACTTTCCAAACCAACTATCCAAACTATCCAAACCAACTTTCTCAGCTTACCCAATTCCCATTCAACTTCCTTATTTTCCACTTTGTGAGGACCCTGACACAGACAGTGCAGATCATCTACCGGAGAAACTTGAGGACAGAAAAGTGAGAAAATGCCCTGGCTTGCTCTAATAGATGTGCTGTGTCCTCTTTCTTTTGTTCTTGGGCTCCTCCTGACCATGCTCAGGGCCAGCCACACGCAAGACAAATGCCTTAACCCCTGCAGTATCTCTCCTACCCCCTCTTGAGTCACTTCGGACACATGATAGTTATAATAAAATGCATGGATATTATCTGTTATGGACGTTAAGAGAGTTTTTTTCTAGCTATATTTTGATCTGGTAATAAAGAGTCTTTAGGAGATGAAAGACTTCAGGCAGATGTGAAGCAACACAATCATGGTTAGCATTTATTGAGCTCTTACTAAATGTTAGGCACTGCTTATTTTATTTAAATGTTATTATATTTTTATAAAGTAGTTCACAATATTTGATTACATTTAATATTGGAACTCCGCACAGCGGTAGGGCGTTTGCCTTGCATGCAGGCAGCCTGGCCGAGCCAGGTTCGATTCCTCCGCCCCTCTCAGAGAGTCTGGCAAGCTACCAGAGTATTCAGTATGCCAAACACAATAACAACAAGTCTCGCAATGGAGACGTTACTGGGCCCGCTCAAGCAAATCGATGAACAACGGGAGGACAGTGACAGTGACAGTGACAATATTGGAACACTAATCCCACCACTTTTATACCTTCCCACCACCATATTTTGAATGTTTCCATCCCAAACCACAACCCTTGACACAAAGCAGAACCGAAATAATTTGTTTTGTATTGTTTGTTATGAATAAAT